TTTGGTGTCCATATCTTTAAAAATAGAGGAGTAGTAGTGGTTTGAAAACAGCATGTTTTATTAGCATTTTATTAGTATTACAAGCTTTCAATTGCTAAGGCTTCTGGAAAATTGTTACATTTATAAAATTATTAGAGTTTTTTAATCAGGATGAATTTGTAGAACAGTGCTATGGAGAGAGAATCTTTATTTCATACAATTTTTTCAGAAAATGCAATAGATAGAAGTATTATGAAAAAGAAAGAAATTTTCTGTATTTCAAATGAGTTTTTTTACGCCACTGGTATTTTTAATCTATTAAATCTTTCCATGGCTCTAAAGTGTAATGTATATACTACCTTTCATGGAAATTTAATGCCTATATCTTTGAAAACGGAGGAGTTGTGTTTTGAAAACAATATGTTTAATATGTTCTTTATGTAAATTTCAGAAATCCTGTATGTGTTATGCAGATCACAAAAAAATCACATATAACCAATCAATATATGACATTAATTAGTTTTGATTTTCTTAGAATGTCACATAATGCACATTAATGTATGAAAAGTTGCATAATGCCCATCTCTAATGATAACTTGATGATTATAATTTGCAACTATTGGTTGTTTTTTGGTGGGCTTGTAAAGCAGTTAAAATATACATAATGCATAAATTTGGAAGTTGCCAAGTTTTCCCTCATATACACTATAAAAGTTTTTTTTGAATGAAAAAGATCTGCATAAAATTAGCCAATAATTTTTGTTTAGATCATTGATTATTATGATAATCTCCCTGATTAGTATGGTGCACTGCATCTAAAAACATCAAATGCTGTGCCATGTACCGAAAATTTTAATGGTGATCTTTCTTGTTTAAGAAATTGTTCAAATATGGTCTTCATATTAGTATCTAATGACATCAAATGCTGCACTTATTGCTGAAAATTTTTAATGCTGATCAAGAAATCATTGTGAATTAAATTATATAGAAAGTTTTTGGGAAGTAACTAAAGAATACACTAGAAAAAATTGTAATTATTTATTTAAAGAATTAGAGAGAACTGTTCCTCTGGCATTGAACTTTGTAAAATTGGAAAGTTTGCTAGAAGTTGTTATAGATTTATGAATGCTTATAGATTAGGACTTTCAGGAAAAGCTTTAATATTTGCAGCAAAAAATTCATAGAAAATTGCCAGAATTTATGTTAATGGATGCAGATATATTATCATTGAATGTTGAATGATTGTTATATGCATCACGTGATAAAAGTTGATCTATATTGGTTTTCTGATTGGTCAAATTAGTTTGATAGGCGTGCCGAATTTTTTTAATTAGTAATAAAAATTACTTTAAACCCCCATAACTTTTTATTTTACTAATTAACTTTAATTGCCAATCCACAAATGAATGAGAGAATTTATTGGTGATCAATGGGGCAAAAATGGTAAAAAATCATCAGTTGACAATGTTTTGGTATTACAAGCTTTATTCTTTTTATGTATGTATAAAGTAAATCTCATAGATTATTGTATCAAAAATATTAAAGGCTTGGAATGTTTCTTGAAAATGTTTATATATAGGAAGCTGAGATTTCAAGAAGTTCATAACATATAAAATTTTGGAATTTTTTAATTTTCAGCCAACACTATCACATCAGGAAATTTTTTCTGACGTAAATTTACGTAATATTATGGGGCCCACCATAAACTTACGTAAATAGTGTAATATTATGCAAAAATTGCACAAAAATTATGCAATTATTACATTCAGTGTAAATATTATGTCCTTTTTATGTGAAATATTACGTCATTTCATATTAAAACTTACGGATGTAATATTACGGCGGGAAAAGTTTCCTGATGCAAGTATTCTGACCAGAGCTATACATTTTTTTTTATCAGTTTATTAACAAAAAAGCTTTTATTTTGCCAAATAAACCACATGTTGTTATAAGTCAAGTCAATAAATAACTGCAAAAGAATTTTAAAGTAGTATTCAACAATCTTGAAAGAATTCTAAGGCTGTTCTTTATACTTTTTGTGTATACATGAGAGTTAACATCTGAGGACAGTAAGATTTGGGAATTTTCTTATTTTATTAATAACAATTATCCCCAAGATTTTATATGAAATTGATTGACATGTCTCTCATTAATAGACGGATCATCAATTAAAAAATCTCTCTAATACATTGTTGCTTATGTTCCAAAGATTACAAAAATAGAGAGATTTTTATGGACCAACAAATATTTCCAAAGTTATCAGGGTTTAAAGATTTGCAATTTTTTTTGACGACTTTAGATGTGGTGCACCATATAACATCTAATAAATTACACTGGTTTATTTCTTGTTTAGTTATTCCGTGATGATTTTCACTTCGTGTTACTATTACTATTACTTGTAAATCATTTCCGATTTATATATTAATTTCCTGTGATTGATAGTTTACTATTTTACACTATAGATCTTTATATCAATATTTCTACTTATAATCCAAATATTTATTTGGTTAAATGTTACAATGTTTTAAATTTAGAATAGTTCTACAAGTCACATTATCTGCAACACTCAAGAAGTATTTAAACATTTAGGAATTGCTTGAGTTAAAGAACAAACAATCAATCAATCAATTGATAGATCAATAATTAATGGTCTTGATAACAATCTTAATACTCTAATAAATATATAACCCTTTACATAAAATAGTCTTTGACTGTAATTAATTAATAAACCAGTATGGTTGGCTCTTCTAATTATTAATAGTCAGGCCAAACTTTTTTAATTATTAAGCATATTACAAAGAGGATGCAATTAGAATATAAATGGATACAGAAACTCAGGGATATTTTATCTAAACTGTGTGTCATAAGATAAAAGAAGCGTTGACTATAAATTGGGAGCAAAGTAAGACCAGCTGTGTGTCAATTATTTAGGCTATTCAGACTAAAGCTCCTCACAAGCTGGCTTGTGAGCCAGATAACTTAACAATTCAATAATTTTGATCTCAAATATAATCACTACAGTCTGAAAAGTTTTTGAGTTTTTGGGTCGGGTTTGGGGTTTTCAGTTTGGTCCCAACTAACAACTTGAACCTGATTCAAAAATTTCAGATTAAAACTCTTAAACCTAAAACCGACCAACTGTGCCTGGACCAAAAATCTTTGAGTTCACCTCCACCATTCGGAGCTTTGGTTGTGGACATTGTTGGAGATTGTAGAAATTGCAACTTGCAGTTAATTACAAACATTGCAGGCATTAAAATAAATGTTGCAATATTATGTTGTAAATCAAGAGCTGCAGTATCTTAATTGCACAAATTTCTCTTACTCTCATACTAAGGTTTTTGGTTGAAACTGCCTCTCTTAATAGCTGAGATTGCCAAAACACTGGGGGCAAAATTTTTTATATTTTTATTAATAGCTAAAATTATTTTTATATTATTTAAATTAAAATAGTTGATTTATATATTTTTTTCATGTTCACTCTTATAAAAAATATTGAGAATCCCAAGTTATTGTCAAAGTTACTTTTTTTTAAAAACAGTTGGGCTGGAAAAACCTTTACCCATTTGGTGTGATGCCACCAATTAAAGACAATTAAGCAACTTTAATAACTAATAACAATTATTATTGTTGTTATTTATACATTATATAAATACTTATATATAAATGATTTTTTAAAATAAATCAATTGGAAATATAAAGCTTACCAAATCAAGTAATGAAAATAAAATCAATTGAAATTTTGATAGATTTTTTACAATAAATTTAGATAATAAAGCCATATAAAAAAAAGAAGATTTTTTGGGGATAAATTTTTTTTTTTGGCTTAATCTATCATTATTATTATTTTTTGTGGATATGAGGATATTTTTTGCACAAGAATATATACAAACTATTACACAAATTGTCTCAACACAAAAAAAGGGAATAAAAAAAGACCTCCTTTTTTTCAAAGAATGATTGTTTTAGAAATGAATATAATAATAAATTTCTCTCACTCCCATACCCATTTAGTGTGACACTACTAATTAACTATTATATATGAAATAATTAATATAACAATTGTTATTATTATTAATTAACCTGTATAAAAAAAGATTTTTAAATTCAAATTAATATTATATTACCAAATTTTACAAAAATAGCAATTAGATTAATCCGAAAAACAAATAAACATTGAATGTGAGAAAATCTGTCAATCTATATTTAGAAAGTATAAAAATTTTTTTTGGCTTAATTTTTTTATTGTTTTCCTTTTTTTTTTTTTTTTGTATAAAATCAAAAGGAATTTTTTAAATCAAATAGAAATGAAAAGATCGAGGAAATTTTGTACAAGCAAGTATTATATAAAATTGAAAATATTTACATAAAAGTCAAATTGTGATGGCGACGAAAAAAATAAAAATAAAGACACAACACAAAAAAAAGACCTCCTTTTTTTTAAAAAAGAATAATTGTTTTAGGAAATGAATGAAGTTCTATATTGATATAAATAAATATATATATACTATGTTTATGTATTATTATTACATAGTGGAATATAGTGAGTGTGTATTAAGAGAGAAAAAATAAATCTTGATTTTTTTGTTTTGTTGTTATCCTTTTTTAAAAGATTTTTAAATCATAAAATTATATATATATACATAGTTGGTTATTACACCTACACATAAAACATGGTAAAATATCGATTGAAAAATGAAAAAAAAAAAAATCTACAAAAAATTTCTATGTGTATGGAAAAAATAAACAAATCAATGGGTTATCCCGAAAATTACGAATTCTTATTGCTGTAATATCATCTTATTATTTTTTTTTTTTTTTGAAATTCATAAAACTATAATATATAATAGTACTATTAGATAAAATAATAAAAGGGTATAATTTTTGAAATAGAAAACGAGAAGGGAAGAGTCTAATGAAAAAGAAGAAAAAAAGACGAAAAGCAAAGAAGAAAAAATATATTAAATCATCCGTAATATTGCGTGATTTGTTTGTAAAAAAATATCAATATAATGAAAAAATTAATTACAAAGAGGAGGAAATCTTACAATGTCATCTAAATGTGTATAGGTGGTATTACGTTGAACCGCTGATAACGGTGGTAAAACGAGAGTATAATTTGCATTATTACCACTACTATTCAATGATGTTGGTGCTCTGAATATTGTAGGTGTTACTTCCATTACATTGTTGTTTTCATGATGGCGGTGATAATGTGTATTAATTTGGGTATAAGTAGGGGTAGAATATGAACAACGCGTACATTCTACAGGAACACCTGGTCCATTTGTGGTACGAAGTGATGGAGTTGTATTATTTCTAGTTTTTGTAGATGTATATTCATCACTATCTGAGGAACAATTACTGCTACCACTACTAAAACTATTATTATCACTACTACTACTACTACTACTACTACTACTAACGCTATTATTATCACCGCTGCTGCTACATGTAGATGTGGGACTAATTGGACTCATAACATTACCATTATTAATAATATTACTGTTAATATTATCATTATTATTAATAATACCTTCATCGATGCTATAAAGATAGAAATTATTAACATAATTTCCATTTCCATTGTTATTTTCGTCTTTTATGTTTCTTTTCAATTGACATTTTTGTACATGTTTTGAAAAATTACCACGCCTTGTAAATGATCTTGTGCAACCAGGAATTGGACAATTGAGGGGTTTTGGCCAGGTGAGATCAGACTTATAGGGTGATGATGGTGTGGAAATAGTTAATTCTGCAAAGATGAACATGTGCGAAGAATTAGAAGTATTATTATTGGCGGAAGGAATGTTGTCCCCATTCCCATTAGCGTTCGCATTGTTATTATTACGATAAAGATCTTTGACTTGTAGGGTACTATTTTTAAATGACGAAGCACTAATCTTTCTATTTCTATAATCTTTTTTCTTATTCTTATTGTGTGTCCTACGATGTCTTGACAATTCATCTGACCTGGAAAATTTTTTGGTACATCCGCCCCAAGTGCATTCATGAGGTCTTTCGCCTGTATGTATTCTATTATGACGGACCAAATGTTCCAGTCGATTGAATTTCTTTTCGCATGTACTGCATTTATGTTTGTAAATTATAACACCAGGTGAATTTTTCTTTGTAATAATCTTGTTATTATTACTATCATCGTCCGTATCTAAATATAAACTAGAAACTTCATTATTAACATGGTTTTCTTTTTGGTGATGAATATAATCATAATTTGGTGACAACGATTCAGGAGGATTGATGAGATCGGAAATTTTGAATGTTGACATTATTATGATGACTCGTTGATGTGGTTGATGTTGTAGTGAAAGTTGGTGTAACGTTAAAATTAGTAGTTAGTTAGCTGTAATAAGCAATACTAAATGATAATTATTGTTAATATGGTTGATGATGATAATAATTATTATTATGGTTGATGATGGATAAAATCAAACGTTAGGGAATGAGCAATAATAATGAAAGGGGACAATAAAAGAAAAAATTATTTCATTGAACAGAACTTCGAATTTTTTTAAAAAAAATATATTCTACGATTATAAACATTTATATAAATTTTTATTTTATTTATATTATAATTTAATATAATCATATAAATAACAATTAATTGCTTGTGCTTTACAGTTTTGAATTTGAAAATGTCTACTTTTTTTGATTCATCACTTACGTTACATAACAATTTTTATTTTTTTTTTCATGTGATACCTTTTTTTTTTTTTTTGACGTTTAGTTTATAATATATCATATATGAATGAAGATAAATTAGTCATTAATACGCCATAACTGCTATTTAGTGTACGACATATTTCGACAGGAAGCCAAATTGCTTTGGTGCCCTTTTTTTTTTTGTTTCTAATCAACACTATCAGACACTACACCCATGCGCACTAAAGGTTCACAATTTATTACAATGTGAAAGCTCATGAATAGGTTAGCTCACGTAAGTTAGTTAGCTCGCACGAGTTGTTAGCTCACATGAGTCATTGCCATGAATTATTCATCGATAAGAGCCATTCGCCTAATTTCTTAATTCATGCATGGATAACCTGATATTATTTTAAAAATGATAAGGTATTTGTATATATATATATAACAATAACAATGATATATAATAACAATAATAATGACACGTTTAAATATTTTTTTTTGACAATGACTTTACCAAATATAAAAAAAATTAACATTCTTTTTTTCCTTTGTGTTATTGATGATGATTTCCATTTAGTAAGTGAAGAGCCCGGAAAATACGTATTTAGAAATGGGTGAGAGAAACATTTGCATGATACACTTAATCTATATAGTAAAAAAAAAAATATTTGTTGTCCGAATTTTTGAGTCACAAGGGGAGCAACACTCGTATCAACTATCAAATCTGGCCCTTTCCCCGACATATTTATTTATATGCGTGCGCGTGAATGTATTATAAATAATAATAAATATTTTTTTATATACATACACCCGCATATATATATAATAGTAGATAAGCTATAAATGGATTCTTAATATAATTAGACTATATATATTAATATTATTATGGAATATTTGACTGCGCACCTGACATCATACTTGCTTGATTTAATTAACCCTGCATTGTTTTTGAAAAAAAAATTTTTTGACAGGGTTCATTCATTATTTTCCCAAAAATTTAGAATAATTTCAAAACAAAAACAGTTTTTTTTATTGGCTATTGCGTACTTTTCAATGTTTTAATAAATTTAACAATGTCAATAGACAAAACAATACAGCACAATTAGTGAATGAACGAATCTTTGGGTTAACTATTTAATCATTCCATTATTCATCGTTAAATAACAATAATTTGTGTAGTATAATATAAATACTTACAAAATATTTATGCTCAAAATAATAAATAATAGATATTAATAAATATTTGGATAAGCTATACATATTTTAGTTTGATAGCTGATTAGAAGAATGAAACCAAAAAATTTTTTTTTAAGTTTGTTATTATTATTATTAATTATCCAACCAATAATGATAACAATAATACATTTTTATTTTTTGATAGAACCAAAAACAATGTGTACCACACCATCATACAGTATCTAACACATCGCATGCCTTCACTATACAAGAAAAAAAATATATAAAGCAAGGTGGGATTACATATGCGTATATGTGTGTGTGTGAATATGTACTAGAATGCACACTGACTTGCATGATTTTTCATTATAGAAAAAGATAATGATTCAATCTCCAAATTTGGTAAATATACTATCTTTTTTATATAATAATATTCTTTGTCGTTATCGTACTAATTATTGAACAAACAAAAAACGAATTGCATGAACGAATTACATGAACGAATGAATGGAATTATAAATGACAATTGCAATTATACTTTATTAGAAAAAGATATCCAAATTACGTTGGTTATTAATATTGGTTTCCATGTGAGGTCATTTGATTTCAATTAGGAATTAGCTGTCAGGTATGATATACTAATTAATCTAGTGATTGTAATTTGATTGGATTGGAAACGCGTATAACCTCATGCACACTTCTTTCTCTCTAATTCTTTATTACTTTTTAATTGATTGATTTTCGTACAATCATACAAAATTCACACGGATTTTTTAAAAAATTTTCCTTTAGTTTGATATACATGTAAATGCCGTATTATCGTCATAACAATGTCTGACAAATTGACGTTGATAATATTTAGGCAATAAATAATGTAATATTACATTTTTAAAAATTGCTATCAATCAATATCTGATATAATTGGAGTGCGATTTCCCCGAGAATAAATTACATTCCTTACAAGGAATATATAAACATGCCACGGAAAATTCGAGACAATTTATAATGGTTAATATGTTGACTGTATAACATTGTCAATTCATTATAAATCTTCCTAAATGTTACATTATTCGTCTATAATAATAATCTGTTATTTTGTATTGTTTCTTTGTATTAAATTATTTATTTATTTTTTTTTTGCATCACCACGTTTCTTATTATGTAAAATCCTGATATACCTGATATAACATGAAAGAAATACATAATAATAACGTAATTGAAGGAGAAACAAGTTTATAAAATAACCTGGATTATATAATCTGTCAAAAAATATATAGTAAGTTCCATTGTTTTTTTTCATTTTTCTCTTTATTTCTAATTCGTCTATTATCCTATTAAAAAGATAAACAAATAATATTGCATAATAAATAATAATATTTATATTACGTGCTGTTTTTATTTAAAATAACAAATCCCACTATCTGGTAATAATTAATAACGAATTTAAATAACAATATCAAAGTCGAAATTAATTACTTTTTGTTTACAAACAATGCGAATATAAAATCACGTGACCAAAATATATAATTCTAAATTTTTCCCCATCCCATTAAACAAATAATTGTAGTATATATTATGCATGGATGTGGCTAAATGTTTTTTTTATTCTGCCATCACTACCATGCACTCTTATTGTGCTTATTGATAGATATCACTATAATTCCAATTATCCAATTCTGAATGAGAAAGAATGAATCAATCTATTTTAAGAAGTTTTGAAAACAAATATATATATATATAGTAAATAATACTTGATATTTGTGTGCAAGATTAGGCAGAGATAAACGTTTTCCTCGTACGTAAATTTTGGTTTAAAAAAAATTATCGGTTCATTGTTACGATAGTTATTGTTCCATTAATATGATTATATTTATAAACATACATGTGCTATCTTTACAATCATTGGTTATCTGAATTTTTTGTCTTTTCCAATGTTGCATCTCTTATCTATTATCAATATATCCAATTAAAAAAATAAATTATGCATCCAACTTTATTAAATTTAAAATTACTGTGCATTTTTAAAGATTAAATAAAGCTTTAACTTCTTAGTAAAAAATTTAGCGGTTTCAAAAAATTTCATAAACCTGACTATTTGGGGGTATAGAACTGTTTTCCTTCTTTTCTCGAGAAAATAAATAATGTTTATAAAAGTTTTATTTCTCGTGTGGAATATTTTAATATACTATATATATTTCTGAAGAAGGATAATAAGTACATTTATACAATTTTCGACTTTACGATGATATTTTGTTGATCTGTTGTTAGTTGACTATAAAAACTTTACACGATTTTAATTCTGATCAAATGGAAAAAATTTATTTTTATTTTTTGTCATTTTTTACCCTTGTATGTTTAAAGTATACAACAGATTACATGTTTTTCAATATTAATATATTATCAGTACTTGGGAAGGATTGTTTAAGTTATCACATGATTAATTAGAAAAAAAAATTATATCAAACTAAATCTTCTATTTGCAAAAAAAAAATCAGATCTAACTAAATCTTTTATTTACAAAAAAATATTTTCACGTTATTATTATTGATTACACAGTTTTAAAATTCGAAAAGATTAATCGCATCTATCTGAAAATAAATAATAATAACTTCCAAAACATCTTTAGTAAACATTAATTAAATGTCTTATTAATTAATTTCTATTCGAATTTTTTGCAAATAAAAACGCCAATGTAAACATTTTCCTATTGAAAATAAAGCGAGGCGAATTATTGATTATTAATGATCTTTGTTGATTTCGTTGGCGTAAAGGCGCATAATTTTTTCATTAATTTTGGTTAAAAAAAAATTGAAATACTTTATTTGGTAATACGTAATTTAAAAAATAATTTGACATGCTGCATTGACTCATTTCGCAGATCAAACATTTTAAAAAACCTATTTTCATTTATAACCAACCATATAGTGGTGAATCAAGATGTAACTAAAGCTCTTCGCGAGCCGTCTTGTGAGCTTATTGAGTTATTTGGATTGCGGGCCGGCTCACGCAAAGCTTTAGATGTAACCAACCGGTTTAGAAGGTAATAAACTTTTTTTTTAACAAAAACCCAATTTTTTATTATAATAAATTATAGTGATTCAAGACAAAAATAATAAAAGGAAGGATTTTTAGGTTTAACAAAAATTATTAGACATTGAACTGTGCCCACGGATATCAATTATCGAATGCTACTATGAGTCAAATGGAAAATTTTATTATTAGTCATAAATAAAATAAGTACTTTCAAAAGGACATACAGATGGAGTACTTTGGCAAAAAAATTTCCTCGACAGCTGTTATTTATTCTATTAAACGATAGATTGGGGGCGTTCTAGACTTTCTGAGCCTCGAGTATTTGGTTTTGATCATATTATATGTTGCTTGTTTGCAAGTTGATTTTAGCTCTTTTAATGATAATAATACTAAAAAAACAGTATAAAAAAGACCTCTTGGTGAGATCACCAACAGAATAAATTATTTAATGGTTTTGAAAAAATCTTCAAGGTAACAAACAAAAGATAATAAGACACAGACTAACGATTGTAATATTGACAAGGAAATCAAGTTTTTGTTTACTTTATTGGTTCAGATTCGATTCAGGTTCAACAACAACTAATCAAATTGATGCAGTGGTTTATGTACGTGATGAGGCCATGATTGGTATCATAATTTGGCTATTCTATTTATCGTGACTATTTGGTAGTAGAAAGGAAAACTTAAAATCAATCATAATCTTATTATACATATGTGCTGATTTTTTTTGACCCCAAAATTCAGTACGGTATGATCATAACATTATGAATACTTATACTAGCAAAAACCCATTGATTTTGAGGTGGGGTCATTGGTTTGATGGGTTGTTGAATAGTAAAATAGTTTTTTAACGGAACAAATAAATTTTTTTTAGGGTTAATTATCATTCCACTGACCAGTTTACACATTAAAAATACCCGTGTTTAACGTTGAGACACAATAAGATATAAGGTTTGAAAAAAGGATCCGAAAAACCAAATCGGCTGATGTGTTGATTCATAATCCTTTCTGATGATTAATGTTTTGGCCAACCTTTAATCATTAGTTAAGGGACCCCTTTTAATTTTATTATATTGCTTTTAGGGACGCCTCAAGTAGTATGGTTGTATGTGGCGATTTTATTTTATTGGAATTACCTTGGTTGCGTGCTAGATTTGGTGACTTCGTAATAAATAACTTGGTTGCAATGTGATTATTGTAATAGGTTACTCCAAGCCAACATATCAGACCCGAAGAAATATTTAATGTCGACAACGTCTTAACCAATGAAATAAGGAAAATACAACAATTTTGGTCACTTCAACCTTTCAAATTCATATGAAGTCTCTAGAGTTGTATGATAATTATGAGTAGAAAAATTTTCTGTTTTAATTTGTTCACTACGGTTTTATCATATGATAATAATATCATGATCATTACTACCACAACACATAATGATAATAATAATTATATCGTAGCCACTACCACACAGAGGACAATTCAAGAAAGATTAATGTTATTAGATTATGCATTTTCTACTATTCGAATTGATTGTAATGGTTTAGTCCAAAACTTGAAAAGTAAGAATGCAATTTCGGTCAATTGCAGTCGTTAAAAAGAAGATCAAGTATCACATAGTGAGCGAAAATGTTTAATTTTTAATAATAAAGCTAATATGAATATTTCTTTTAATGATTTATTTAATCAATAGTAAAAAAATGTCATAATAAGTACTTTCAAGAGATTGAATTGGAATGCATTCAAACAGTCCCAGTTTTTAATTTTTACTTAATGGACCACAACCGAACCAGTTTGTTCTTAGTTATCAAAGACCATTTGGATAGTTGAATTTTATTTACCATAAAAGCAATTTAATTTGTTAAAAACATTATTTTATTCACACCTATAACTATTACTGATAATAATATTGGCGTAATATCATCACCACCATCAAAAATATAAAATATAAGTCCACTCAGCTCTTTATTATGATCATGTAGTTCTCTGAATAAATAATCATGCCATGCAACGTATATCATATATAATTTAATATGATAATCTAATTAATTATTCTAATGCAGGAGGAAACAAAATTTCAGAAAGATTTCCAAAAAGTCCTTTATCATAAACATTTTTAATTTCTTTCAGTGATTTTATTGGTCTTCCTATAACTCTCTTGTTATTATTTTAGTTAATATCCTGGTTATTTATTTCTTTATTATAACATTGATTGCTGCTTCCACTTTCAATACTTTAATTGTATTATTAGATCTGGTATATTTACATCATTCCATTATTACTATTACCATTGATATTACTATCACTGGGTATTTGACGTTGTTTATTATTTGGCTGAACCCAATAAATAGACATATCACTAGTCCTTCTTCTAAAAAACATTTCTCCTTTCTATTATTATTATTATTATTATTATTATTATTATTATTATTTTCTCCGGCATCATTTCTTTTTGCTTTCTTTTTAGAATTACTATTATTACATGACAATGATATTGATGATGGTGATAAATTTTTTTGTTTATTTTTAAGGTCTTTTCCATCATAAACCCATAATTCATCATTAGAAATCATTAAAAGCTTCATTTGAAGTTGTCCCATAATAAATCAAATAAAATTGATAACAAAGAAAAAATGTTATTGCAAATCTTACTAATAATACAAAGATTCCAAGTTCACCCAACAACATTTCTTGATGAATTAAAAGCTGTGTAGCAAAATTGAAAATAGTTTAATATAATAAATGAAGTGTTAAAAATATCAAATATTAAAAACAGTTAATTTTATTATACTCAATAATCATTTATTACCAAAGCTCCTTGATAAATACTAAGTGGGTTTTTTACATCAGTTTGTATATTTGTAGTGTAAACATATTGTAGATTCATTTTTTTAGCAAATCCCAAGAATATATTAAATATAACGTATGTACCATAAAAATATACCTGAATTATTGAATAATGGAATAATAAAAATAACAACAATTGTTTAATCCAACACAATTATTAATCCATGCACCTAATAAAATAATATTAATATTATATAGTTTGATAAACTTTTTGTTTTGTAGTTTGAATTGATTTTACCACTTGCAATGATGATCTAATTTTGCTACATACATTTTACATAATGAACAATGTTTTGATCTTGCTGACCTTTCCATAAATAATAATAAAGCTATTTAGTAAAAGTTTTTATTATTATCATTCATCATTAGTCCTTGCTTTTGTATTAGAAGAGTTTTACATATTTTTGGTTTGAATAGCAAAAAATCATAATCAGACATTTCACAAGCCTTTGAAACATTTTTTTCCAGGATCACTATAACTTGCTATATAAAATGTTAAATACATAAAAATTATTATTATTGAAATGAGCAATCTAAATAATATGAATCATGTGTTTATATGAAGGACAAATAATTAGATTCATAAATCACCACCATAAATAATAACATTAATTAAAACAATAGTTTTTTACTCACTGGAAATACATGGTCCAAGAATATGATCCCATCCAACTTGATAAAATATCCAAATGGATCCTGATAATAAAAATAAATAAAAAGAACTAAATAATGACCAATAATATTATAATAAGTATTAATTAAATCAATATTCGGATTTCATTTTTTTCAATATTAAATCACTATTGTAAAATTGGATTTTTTCTTTTGCATAATAATTATAAGCACGATCAAAAGTTCTTGACATGCTATTCCCACAAATTTTTTTTGATAAATCCTTAAATTAAAAAGTAAGAATGTCAATTCAAGCAATGTTATGAGAAAGAAAATCACAAATTATTGCAAAAATAATTACCATATCCATCCAATTAATGTTGCCGTTAAAAAATTATATAATTTTCCAATTGGTCCATTTCTGAAAATTTTGACACTGGCCTACAGTAATTTACCGGATTTTTTTTACTATTTATTATTATAGAATTATAAATGTGATGTTTAATATTTAAAATTTTTAAAATGAACAGGCTAATATTTAGTATGTCCACCTTTAGCCTTAATTA